CCCCCCCCCCCGCACCGTGCCCTTCTGGGAAATAAAGCGTCACTAAAGACGCACCAACGCCCATCTATGTGTCAGAACAGATACGAGTGCTGAACATAAAGACAGGGGACGTTTGCGTGCGATTTTAAAGAGGTCTTCCTCAAGCATCATGAAAGCATCTCACTGAAACTACCCTGTTGATCACAAAGGGCTTTTCTGCTGCGGGCTGGTGCCACCTTGCAATGGATTCATGTGATACTCTGAGGTATCAACCCCACCCCCTCGCTGTGATGTGACTTCTCATTTAGTGCCCAATGGATAGAAAGACTGCATGGATGACGGGGAAATTAACATGATGATTTCCGTTCTTGTTGAAAGAATGCATTGCACTCCAAACCAAAATCCTACACAGATGGGCAGACATAATATAATTTGTTGTAAGTCAATGGATGGTCACATATTAAACAGGGAGTTGAGCGAAAGGTTCATATTGCGATTTGGAGGGACGAGTGCATCGCAGGTTTAAAGGCTAGGCTTGTACGTAGTGAGATGTAGAGAGACTCCGAAACCTAGGTTACGCATCTCGGATAAGTCGATGCTGATCCAGACATGCCTGGCAGAAGACTGCTGTAGGAAGGAAAGTGTACAGGGAGTCACGTTGAGGAGGGTAACCGGAAGTGTGGAAGGGATGAAGATCACTGTGAAAGCATCAAGTGATAGTGTGATGTCTGTGTCGCAGGTGTGAGGGTAGGGCCTTGTCTTGGTCTTAGAGGTGCCATATTGCTTTGAGGCATGTGAATGACAGGTGTCATTTTTTTCTTGAACAGGAATGTGATGGGTTTGCCAATCAAGAACCGTTAAACCGTACGTACGGCTCACCTTAACCCTGACTGACTGAGATGACTGCTTTTGGAAGAAACTCAGTGTTCCTGAAAGAACCCTGTAATGATTTTATATTTCTTTGAGTTTTGTATCTAGCTGTTTGTGTTGGTGGTTTTAGGAAATATGGCTGTTCCATAAGGTGCAAGTTAAATATATATATGTGTACATGTGTGTACATTATAATTCTGATTGAACTTGCATGTTAATTATTTCCAGTGGATTGGCTCGGTAAAGGAATAATGCAAAGGGCGAATGTCCGTAAACTAGGCTATATTAGTGCTGTCTTGCTCTGCCTAGACATTAAACCTGCATCCCCGACGCTACTCTGGGACTGTGGTAACAGCAGCTGTCTTAATGAGAGCCTGCTTTCATCCAGGGCAGCAGCTCTGGTCCTCGTGTTTCAGTCTGAGGTCTCAGCTTGTGGTTCTTTAATCTCCGCTGAAGGTCTGACGTTTTGCATGCTTCTCTGGGAGGACAGCATAAAAATCTCATGCAGCTTTTACGCAGTTGCCGCCTTCTACCACAGGACATGTTTAAAATGATTATGTAGGGAATTAACTTGCCAGTAAAGTCCAAGCCAGTCTTGGGCTTCAGTTGAACGCTGGCTTGGATTTGTCAGACTAAGGTCAGAGGTGATAGGGCAACAAGGACAGTTATGCCTGATGTGTTATCCCGTGGGACAAATATGCAGTGTGAAATACTGCCCAAAGCCAGGATAGGGCTGTAGATTAACAATTACATTTTTTTGACCAAAGCACCCGTGAACTGGAGAATGGCCGCGTCTGAGGTTTCAGGCTCTCGGCAGTAGCAAACCGCACTTCTGTTTGTAAAATATTAATTCATTTTCCTGTAATTCGTTTGATTTAGTATTTACCATTTTATTTCACTCATTTTATTACCTCGACTTTCAAGGCTGGTCATTCTAAATCAAAGGACAGGATTGGACAATCAAGTTCAAATGTGGAATTTCACTGTTCCTGGGGGGGAACTTCTGAGTGCTCCTGGATGGAATTTGGGCTAAAGTTCTGGAGGCCTGGGGCATTAATACAAGTAGTTATAAGTACAGGCCTGTCCGATTCCTGCTCTGGCTCGTGCCTCTCTTCCAGCGCTGGCTTTCAGAAGCGGCGTCTCTCTTCCCCCACTGCCCAAAAGGGAACACAGGATATGACATCGCTCTTGTAATGTTCCATGTTCCTGTCTGGACTTAAGATATTTCTATTTCCTGATATCTTCAGCCAAAGGCCAGTGTTCCCCCCTCCTCCTTCTTTGGGGAAGGTGGTTGTCAAAGCAACACTGAATACAGTGAACTGAAGTTATTTAATGGTCCAGAATTTGATTAGTGCCAGACTTGCAAAAGAATTTTAACTGGATGTTTCATGTTTTTTTGCGCCTTTTTCTTCCTTTGTGTAGAACAGGCTCTTGGAGCAAACCGGTGGTACGACGCGCTCGGTGTTTCGCACTGTATATGCATGAGTGTAAGAGCACCCACCCTCTAAACGAGCTGGTCTTGACAACCTGTCTGGCTTCCCGCGTAAAAGCCCTCTCACTGCTGGCTGCGGGGCTTTTTTTTCCTGACACGCCCATCAGTTTCTTTCCTCACCCGTTTTATATCATGCCTATTTATTGTTTAGCATACCGCTGGAGTTGTACTCCTGTTAACCCTGCATGTAGTTTTTTTTGCTCATTTACAGTGAAATAAAATCCCACTTGCTAAAGGAGACTGTCAGCTGTGCGCACTGCCTTCCACAACCTATCCACACCGCCCCCCCCCAGAAACCACCCAACCCATATCAACGCTTTTGAAAAACTTTATTATATATGACATGACCTAATACAGTTGTTATACACAGAGCTTCTGACTTTACCTTTTTCTTTTTCTAAACTTTCTATAAAGAAAACTGTAAAAATATTGAATGAACCTCTAAAAGATCTCTGGGGGGTGGGCGGGGCATGAGCTGGTGGGGCCCGGAAGGCTCGCAGGGAGCGAGGGGTGGGCGGGGCAGCGTCTGGGGCGTCTTACCGTGAGGATGGGGTGGTGTTCCCATTGAGGGAAAACCTACGGGAGGCAACGGCTTGGGTTAGGATCTCCGTCCAACTCCTACACATCAGCAATCCTACATATACAGTGCTTAACTACACAGTGTGACCCCTCTCCCCCTCGCGTCACTTCACAGTCCATCATGGACAGCAGTCGTTCACTCACCTCCGCACCCTTTCCATCATGTTGCTGACCAAGCGGTCAGATATGCCCGGGCAGGATTCCTCGGCCAGACTGAAGGCGTTCTCCAGCTCCTCTATGGCACCCACCCCTCCCCCTGTCGCTCGTTTCTTCTCCTTGAGCTGAAAGATGGGAGGAAGCGAATCGGCCCCAGGTTACACCTGTGGTGCTGAATAACACGTTTCGCTTGAAATTCTCCAGAACACAAACTGCCATGACAAGTGTGGGTCTAATCAGACACCCAACGGCATGTCGGAACTGGTTGTAGCATATTAGATGTTTTTAGACCCACCAGAAATGATACCTCTGCAAGTATGAGGTGTTGCAATAAATAGCAGGCCCACCCTATCATAACAGACTTAAGTGAGTGTCGGCTTTGGAGATCTTTAAATGCTGGAAAACGTTAAGCCATGTGTGGTCAGTACCCCCCCACCAACAGCCATCTGTGAGAGGAACCGAAACTATGAGAACTGGAACTGGCCAGTCAGGATTGTTCTTAGGGTCAAGCTGCGTTTTGGAGAACCTGAGAAACTCGACAGCTCAAAGCTCACCACACCCAACATAGGATCGGTGAGTCGCGAAGCAGATCTGGGTCTCCAAAGGACAGGGCTGGCCTCTTCACCATAGATCACTTACCTCTCTGAAGATGGGCGTCACGAGCGCAGAAAGACACTGCGACTTGGGCTGCCTCTTCACTGCCTCTGTCGTCTGTAAGGAAACAAAACGCGGTAAATGTCTGAGGGTCACGTTAAAACCTGGGAAGAGCAAGTGCCTTGCAGAGTAGCCCAAATGCCACCAGTCCCCGTCAAGAGCAAGCTAAGACACTACACTCACCTCTGTGTCTCCACCACTGAAGTTTTTCTGGAGCTTGCCCAGGGAGCTCGGCCGCACGGTGGGGAAGGTCCACATGGGACACTGGTCTCTGTCATCACCGTCGCCATCCCTGAACAAATACTCCAGTGAGTCATCAATCGTTAACTAACACCTGACAGGAGCTCGCAGGTGCACTGTGATGCCGGTGAGGGCTGTGGCAGCTCGAGGCACATACATGTCTGAGTCATCGGAGCTGGACTCGTCGCCATGGCCCTCGGACTTCCAGCGGCGGTATCGGTCAATGAGCTCTGTCAGATAGGGGGTTTTCTTGGTGTATCGCGTGATGAACTTGTGCTTCAGCAGCTCCTTGGCAGTAGGCCGCTGTAGAACGACAGCTGGAGGGTGAGCTTCTGGTTCCTATTGGCTTCAGCATAGTAACAGGTGTTAACAGAAAGAAATCACTCACAAAACGGGGGTCTTTATTGAGGCAGGCCTCTACGAATTCTTTGAAGGGCTTGCTGTAGGGGCCTTCCAGAGTTGGTGGGTTGTTCTTGGGGATGAGGAAGAGGACCCTCATGGGATGCAAGTCTGAGTTTGGTGGCTCTCCTTTGGCCAGCTCTATGGCTGTAATCCCCAGGGACCAGATGTCCGCCTATTGAGATATATGCAGAAATGTATTTCAAAGACATCTCATGCTGAAACACCATAACCTCTATGTCACCTCCCATTTGTTGACAGCCTACATCAGAGGAGATGTTTTGGAATTTGTACTTGCAGTACTTTTCAGGATAAGTAAACAAATGATAGGACTCTATAGAGGTCACACCTGCTGATTAGCTCTCACCTTAAAGTCGTATGCTGACTGCTTGATGACCTCTGGTGCCATCCAGAAAGGAGTTCCCACAAAGGTGTTCCTTTTGATCTGGGTGTCTGTCAGTTGGCCAGCTACACCAAAGTCAGCCAGCTTGACGTCACCTTGCTCTGACAGCAGCACATTGGCAGCTACAAGTGACACAAACGGTACAATCAGCTTGTATAGCTCCACAAATTCAACAAAGGGTAAGCAGGCGGGATCGGTGTTTAAATCTTGTTTAGAGCAGAAGTGAGAACCCACCTTTAATATCTCGATGGATTTTCCTCTCTGAATGCAGGTAGTCCAGACCTTTCAGGATTTCCCTCAAGATTGTAGCAATGTAGGTCTCTTCCAGGGGACCTGGCTTCAGCTGCAAGGGGAAGATACGCAGATACTCGTATCCAGACAGGAGAGAAATGTTTTCACTGAAGCAACACACAATATCTTCGGAGTAGAATGTACAAGCCGTTTGGCGAAGAAATAAGAAAGACTGTCTCAAAAACAATCTGCTTGTATTTAATTGTGAGAGAATAGATCCAACTGCCAGAGCACAAGCCAAAGAAAGACTGCAGAAACAGTTACCAGATCCAGAGCAGAGCCGCCTCCTAGATACTCCATGATGATCCAAAGCTTGGTCCCCTGTGAAGAAACAATGGTTACATAGATCTGAGGTTTTCAGCTCTTGCTCTTTATAAGCTGGGAAATAGTAAAAGCAAATGGCCTCATTCACAAAGTCATTTAAAAGATTCATACAGTTAAGGAAGTTACTATGTCACTAATTCCTGGTAATGAAAAGCATATCCTCTAAATTAATGTCATCAGCACCTTGAGGTAGGAGCCAAAGTACTTGGTGACGAAAGGGCTGTCACACTGGCTGAGCACAGTGATTTCCTGCTGGATGTCCTCGATCTCATCCTCTGCCTCCTCCAGGTCGATGATCTTGATGGCCACCACCTCCTTGGTGCGATTATTAATGCCCTTGTAGACCTCGCCGAAGGAGCCTTTTCCAATGCGATCGAGCTTGGTGAAGTACTCCTCAGGGTCCAAGCGGGAGTTCTTTGCGCAGACATAGGGAGACACACGGGTGTTCAGAGAAGTGCTTTGGCATTTTAATGGCTGTTATTGGCATATTTTAAGTGGCTTGCTTGACATTTTTTGGCTGAAGCTTTATTTGGGTGTCAAATATCGACATTTGTTTTTAAATGTCAAGTCGTATTGACATTTTTTTTTTTTGGGAAAGGAAGCAGGCAAAGCCAACATGAATATTGTTTTAAATGCTGAACATGACACTTCTGACATTTCTAAATTAGGGTAGTTTATGCTGAGATAAGGCTGGTTATGAGAACCATAAACAAAAGTATGTGTGACAAAACAATACATTGTAGGGAAGAACGCGAGCGCCCAGCGTGGCATGCCACAGCATCCCACCGCCATCTCCGTCACCTCAGCCTTGTGTTTACTAAAGGAGGGTTGGAAACTGACCCCGTCATGAAGGCAAGGTCCAGTGGACCCCTCCCTAACAAACGGGGCTTTCCCAAGGATGCCCAGCACACTGCCCTTCCTGTTTTGCTGGGGAGGCACCATGCCAGCACCAGTGCCAAATGTGACGTTCCGTGGCTGGACATGCGTTTTTTTTCCACAGCGGCTTTCTGTTGCCAGGCAACTAGCATATAATGTGCTGCCACTGTGAATTTGGCATCTCGTTTGCAAGCACAAGGGTTAAACCGCTTTCATGTGCGAGCTCCCACAAAAGAGGTGGCGCCATGGGGAAAGGCTTCCTTATTCCTCTGCTTTAAATCCTTGTCATCCTTTCCCCGCCATCTCATCACAGCTGGCACGAGTCAAGTGAAATTGCCATTAAACAAGGAACCACTTCATTGGCACAGTCCCGGCCGTTGCCGTGACGAGCTGAAGCTTTATGATGCGTGTGCCGGGCAGCGGCTACGCTGCTTTCGTCTTTCTGCCGCTCTGATCCCAGGTCAGTGCCCAGAAAGCCAGAACTCCACATGGCTAGCCACTCGCTGATCCTAGATCAGCATGTTTTTGGGGCCGAAGGGCACAGAGGAGCGTTCTGGAGCATCACTATGGCTCCGGGACGGATGAGAGGAGCTAGATGCCGTCACTGCCATCTGGACACGCTGGGGCCGGTGCCCCCCCCCCCCTCACACATTGTTACATCAGATCGTTTTATGCTACCCCTGACATTTTTATCTTCGGGATGGAAAGAAAGACGTCCAGCTAAATTTAGATCTGCTGCCGCCGATGAGATTTTGATCTCTTACGCAACGGAGCTGCTGACGCGCCGGCTGACGCAAAGGTCGCGGGCTGTCCAGCGACCCACCTGGGCCAAGGGGGGGGGGCGAGTTAATGAGGAGCGTTGGTGAGAGGGGCCACACCGGACCGCTGCTATGAAATTCACACAGATGAAAGTCAGATCGGGAATGCTCCATCTTCCACTCAAGCCAGATCAAAATCACGACCTGGCTGCAATAGCGACACCCCTGCTCCTTCTCGTTAACCCCTGAACACACCGTAACCCCCAGGGCAGAAGCTCTTGGCCTCAACATCCCTTTCTTCCATGCTTCTGCCCATTCCGTGAATGCAGCGGTGAGGGCCAAGGGGTCATCTGAAAAGGTCAGTGTGGTTCATGGCCCCATATTGCAGCTTGATATACAACTTTGAGCTCCAGTAAGGCCTCAATATCCCAGACTGTGGGTGCAGGATGTACAAAAACCTGATAAACCATGGCCAAGAAAATGTAAATTACAAGGTACAGATTCTGGAATTATGCCCAAATATAGATAAATGTAGATCTAGCATAAACATCAGCAGAGAACATATTAAAAAAATACATTTCTAATGGTTTTGGTCAGTTTAATAACTGCAACTGTCCATGGCAAAAACAGACCATAAACTCGTCTTTCTCAAAGGCATGACTCAGCACTGCTTAACACCCAGGAAAGCGCAAAAAAAATCGAAATACTTTTGGGTTTAAAATGTCATAATTTCGTAACCCCGAGTCCTCAGTCTCCTTGATTAGTGGCTCTTATACTCTTCCACTGCAATAATGCTTCAATACTACGTCTGAACCTCTACGAGTCCACGATTTTTAGAATGAATGTGGGATCCCGTGAACTGAATAGCAGGAAATCTGTGGTAACATTTCCTTGTTCATTTTCAGCCCTTGAGTGTCCGTTGGTCTTATTGAGTCCCAACTTTCACTTCACTAGACTACAGGCAAAATGTCACATAGCTGAAGATGGCAAAACCTCTACGGAAGTTCTACCTGCAGAGGACATCTCTACATCTACCTGCCCTGCGCAACAACTTGCCAGGCAATGGAAAACATCTCTGAAACCATAAGAAGACAGTGATGGGACCAGTAAAGGCATGAGATCTGGTCAGTTGTTCCACTGTGTGTAATTAATCGCAGAAGTATGAGTATGGTACAGACAGCCTTGGAGGTATGTGGGCTTTGAGGAAACACCACACACGCTGGTATCTTCTTGGAGGAAGGAGACATGCAAGCAAACTGGCATTAGCAGCAAGTTCTGGCTCTTGGCCGTCTCCACTGCCTCAGGTAGCCGGGAAGATTGTGAGTGGAAGCCATTATGCTGTCACTCACTATCCGGATAACCCTCGGTGCTCGATCCCGAAAAACAGACATCGACTCAGCTGTCAGACTGAGGTCAGGATTCACCTCAAACTTACAGTCAACGAGATAAATTTAGGAAGAACACTCAAGGGCTTATGGAGAGAGTGCATTCGAAATAAAAACTAATTAATTACACCACTGGTAAAGTTCACAGAGACGGGGCGATATTCGCCCCAATGACCAAATGATCCATTGATAGCAATTTGCTTTTCCAGCAGACTGGACTCTCCTTCAACACAAGCTATTAGCATTTAGCAACTGGTGGCGTGCCAAGCCTGCGGACAAAGTGCATCTTCAGGATGCCGTCCCAAGAACATTACTGTCATTTGGGAAATGCTCCACCTGTGTGGCATTTATCACGTTCAGAAGAGGAAATGTTTTTAAAATACAACTTCCTTTCGTGTAATAAAACCTGACCTGTGCTTGAAAGGGGCTCTCATACATCATGGGAGGTGACAGGTAACCTTCACCTCACAAGTCTCTATTATTCAAACACTGCAGTTGGATTAACCTCATTTAAGCAAAATTGAATTGAATTAAGAACCTACTGTTTTTTTTACCAATATTAAAGATGCTTTAAAGTAGATCTAAAATTTTTGCCTGGTGGTATCAGTATTAGTCATTTACATACCACATGGACCCAAATATAATCAAATGTTTGCTTTTATAAAGACACTTCATTTGTTACTACGGTAATTAATGCTGCTTTAACCCATTCCAAATGTAACAAATTACTAAACTAAATAAACATTTTACAATAATCTTCGGCGGTAAAAAAAAAAAGACACATACAAGCTGCAAATCTAATTATGAACTGAATAATAACATATCACAAACAGGGTTTTTAGGAGCGATCGGCTAGTTGTTTTCCCTTCCTTTATTTGGCTTAAATAAAGGGAAAGGGGCGGCCAGGCTTAAGCGACGGCCAGGGCGCTTTCCCAGCTGGGGAGGGACGGCAATCAGACGGCCTCTCGGCCGATCGCCGGCCAGCTGTCACGGCACCTCAGCCGCCGGGTGCGCCTCACACCTTTCCCCGCTTCCCTGTCGCTCCGGCGACCTGCCCACGGTGCTTTACGCCGCACCACCCGCAACATTAACCGGCTGAAAAGGGAGTTTGAAAGGGGGGTTGGAATGGCGAGCGGAGGAGTTCCAGGTGACTAACGATAATGGTTATTATTACTAATATTTCTCTTGTCTTCCATTGCGGGGATCCAGCGATACGCCGAGCCCACAGCAAACTGCACGGAGCCCAGCGCTGGCGTGTATTTAACCTCCAAACGGGCACCGTCTGCTACACCTTTACCTGGTTCCGCAGGTCTCGGAGGTGAGCCATCCTGTCGGCAGTCTGCTCGGAGGTGAGGGCAGCCGCAGCCCTTTCCGCCTGGAAAAGGCGATTGTCTGTTATTTCTTCAGTGTTTTTTTTCTTCCTCCTCTTCTGAGACCCTCTCTAAACAGCCTCCGATCTGTCACTCCACGGCGTTTTCGGGCTCGGATCAGCCACTCGCGGAGCCCGCGGCCAGGCCAGAGATGTTAGGTGTTGTTCAACTCCATCTATCTGCAAGGCAGATGAAGAAGGAATTTCGACTTTGCGTATTAATTTTTAATTCCGATCAAAGGAGAGTCCGCCTGGTCTTCATTTACTGCTTGAAGAGGGACAAAATAATTGCGTAATAACGCATGCGCGGGTCGGCGCCGTAGGAAGGCGTTGCATTATGGGAGTTGTATTTTTACCCAATTGTGCCTTTCGTTTTCTCGGTGTCGAGGTTTCTGAGGTTGTAGGCTGTTGTACCGTTAGTTTTAATTTTGGTCAATTGTACAATGTAAAACTACACTATAAGAAAGACACTAAAGACTGTTACAAAATTTGGACGGTAATAGCACGGACGCTTTATCGCATGCATTAATATTACAACACTAAGCTTCTGTTTTTCGGGAACACTCCGTTCTGTGTCCTAATAGCAACAACATTAAGAGTATTCTAGATACAGTTTGGACAGCGCAAAACAAATACCCTGACTGCGAATATCAGTACGACAATACACGAAGTACATGTTCCCATTTATTTTTTTCACAACCTAATTAAAAATCCATTTTAAAATCTCCATCTGAACTTTTTATGACGCTAGAACATATTTATGAATTCTTTCTCACATTACCAATAGAAGTATTTATCCACTCCTGTTTTTAACTTGCAGAAATAATCCGAACGAATGCAGTGTTTTGGTATGTCCTTCGATCTGTGCGCGTTGCTTTAATTAAAATTACTGATGCCACCACTAGGTTGCAGCAAAGCTCAATTAACAAAAAGGAATTCGGCAACAAAAAAATACAGTGATGAATACCAATCAGCCTTTTAATATAATCAAATGGCATAAAAACTTTTATAGTAATTATTTAATGAAAATAAAACTTTCTACACCTGAAAATTTTGTGTCAATAAACCCAGCAAATGTATCAGAGGGAGAACATTCAAATGCTTTCCTCGGAAGTGCCACGACAGGACCGATAAGGGAGAACAAGAGGCAGGGAAGAGCGGAGTGAGAGAGGACACCCCTGGCCAGACGGAGGGTGGGGGCAGGAATTCTTTCGACAAGTTCAGGCGGCTCCTTCTTCTACTGAAATGTCAGCGTGTGCCCGAGGCGTTATTGCTCCACAGAGCTGCCCAGGAAAAATTACATTATGCTTTACGTTTACATTTATTTATTTAGCAGGTGCTTTTGTCCATGACGTACAAGCAAAGTAGACAGAAAAGCGTACGGCTGTCAGTGAGCCAGCTTACACTAACACATGTAACTTAGTGTCAGAGCCAGAGCTATACAATACATCACAAATACACATGCTGAGAATCAGAAAAGACAGCTATTCAACTCAAAGACAAGTGTGAAAATACACAAGTATCTGGGACACACAAAAGTCCGGTTAAGCCATAGCAAAAGATTACCAATGGTCAGTGGTTAGACAACCTAGCTGAGGTGATCTTCATCTGTTTTGTAAGCATTACTATCCAAACAACTTTAGTTAAATAACACACGTTTCACTTCTACATCAAGTTGTATATGCACATATTGTCTTCTTTATAGACTTTATTTCTAAAAAAAAAAAAAAAAAGCCCCCCAAAGCCATCATTGCTGCAGAGAGAAGCAAAGCCCCCCCCCCCACACACACACACATAAATCTCATACTTTCTCCTGCGTCATTGGTACAGGATGCTAAAAGATGTCTTTCTGCTTCTCTTGATCAAAATAAACTCAGTGACTGATTTGGATTTAGTGTTAGTAAGAGGCATATTCCATTTCAACAACAATAACAGCATGTAGTCCGCAGGCTCCCCAGTGCCTGAAAGTTTGTCTCTAGTATTGCAAACAACGTGCTTTGCTGGTTTGGGTGGTTCTCCAGGTGAGTATTAAATGTAACCAAGTATGAAAGAGTGTATTTTCCTCTCGACTGCTTATGAAACAGACAGACCTCTAGGCCAGGAATTCATTTAGAACAACAAACCATGAACTGCAACACAAGGAGTTTCTCTGTCGATTAAAAATAAACAAGACATTATTGCACATTATGCCTTATATAGGATAAAGTCACCCAAAAATGTTGGCCGCCTCTATCTACGGGTTACATGGAATTAAGGGTAATACGTTATGGAGCATAAATACTCTATACTAACTGAGTAATAACTCAGTTACTACTGAAGTACAAATTATGACCAAATCATAAACAAATAGTTGCTTCTTGAGAGAAAAGATGCATCACGATTCATTAATGATGAACAAACACGTTTGGTATTTCACGTGTTTTTCAAGACTTGTTCCTACAGTACTTCCTTCAGTAGTTCACAACGGTTTACAGAATTAACAGATATAGTAATAAATATAGTAACTGCTTAGTATGAAAGATGCATCGTGATTCATTAATGATGAATTAACATGAGATCAGTATGTAACTAAGACTTAATTTGTGGCTAATTAATACATAAATAATAGTATAACTATATTATTTGTGCTATTATTTGAGTTACCGAATTAAGTTATGTCTTATTTAATCTAATTTTGCCGAGAGTGTAACATTATGCTGCACCACTGCAACGATCGGTGATATGGCAACAGCGTATCACCCAACATCATTGGGAAAGTGCCGTTTAAATGAACTTTTCTAATATATAATTATATATAATATATTATATATAATATATAATTATAGCCAGTTATAGGGACACATGCGATTGTAACGATCATAAGGTTTCCTTAAACATTGTTCAATTTAACAAAGCACAATATTACATTTCAGTGGCCTGTACTACGAAGCGAGGTTACTGACTTATCGGGGTAACTTGTCGGATTTAAGGTACCACGGTTTAAATGCACTTTATATTCGTTTACTTACATTTTGCCCAGATTACCTTAAATCCGACAAGTTACCCCGATAAGCCAGTAACCCCGCTTCGTAGTACAGGCCACAGGTCAATTTATATCTGTGGTTAATTTCTAAAAACAATCTTGTGGCTAGCTCCATTGCCCCACGTTATCGTAAATTAATGTTCCAAAACTTGTGGAAATGAAAAAGTGTTATATTCTGTAAACTTGGGATAAGTTAATCTGAGCTTCTGTGGATAGTTTAGAGCTGTGTTTTAGGAAACTCGGCTTCCGTTTCGATAACATAACCAGACGTCAACACTTGTCACAGAGCTACAAGTACGAGTAATGACTTAACGAAAAGTGTCAGTGACAAAAAGGAGCAGGCTGTTAAGGGAGATTCCGGCAGTTTTTCTCTTTATAAATAAGGCATCGGCGAAGTCTCGGCACGAAGAAGTTGGCCGTAATGTACCATCCTTCTTTATGCTGGTGTGTTAAAATTGTAGGCGCTATACAGCCAAGATACTTAACAAGATGGTTAAAATGTTATAAGTAGTCTCCAAATTATTTTCATGGGCATTTCTTTGAGTTCTTATCATTACACGAGATCTGTTATAGATTATTGTCCTAATATGGGCAAATAAATGACTTGAATCTAAAAAATCTTCTGCTGCTTTCCACTTTGCTTTGCTGACCAGAAATTTCTACGATGAGCACATCAGCTCAGTAACCCGAGATATCTTTTTTTTTTTTTTACCGCTAACTTGGACTGGCGTTTAGCGCTGGGTGTAGACAATTTATATTATAAGCATACAGAACACGACACTAAACGATTAACTCTTGAGAGCGTCATGAGCTTTAAGGAATTTTGAGGACGACCCCCCCGCACTGGACGTCACCAGTTTTGGTAGTTCAAGCAGCATTCAGACATTGCTTTACCTAATTTGGCATCTGTGAAGACCAAGTTTGTATCGTAAACAGAGGGCGAACTCGCCTACGTTTCCCCTCCTGCCACTGCACGCCATTATCCACAAGCCCTCCCAACGTTGCGAGAAGATGGATAACGCCTAAATTAGCAGTGATTGCACAATGCCTGAACTTCAATAAAAGTCTTTGCGAAACAACTGTGGTGCAACTTGAATCGGCCCATGCACAGTAAAAATAAGTTTTAAGTAGAAGTAACTTTGCAGCCCGTGTGTTTTATATAGGCCTATATATATATATACAAATATATTCGTCATACCATTGAAAACGCATCTTTGAAACCATTGTAATGCCATTTCAGCGTGGTTTTCAAACAAACACTGAGGTTTCTCCTCCAAACCTCGAGAAAACTCCTGCAAAGCCATGACTGAGAGATAAGGATCGGGGGGTGGAGCCTCGGAATGTAATCTCCCTTTACTCCGCCTATATGAGAAAAAACAGAATGACATATAACAAAACATGACCGCCGTCTCAAAGACGACGCATTTTAAAGGAATCACTTTTTGTGTCAAGCAGCAGTTGTCCGCTTTGTACATGAGGACCAGCCGGCCAAACAGCACGTCATGCGGCTTTCTCACTAAAAATGCGGTGAAGATGCTCTTTACCAAAGAATTTCATACAAGCTGTGAGTCTCATCGCAAATGAAAAATATTTTACTGTAGCGCACTCTTCTGCACATTTCAGGCCTTGAGGCTGCTTTTATAAAATGTCACGTAATTTTACATTTTGATGGCGAAAACCGAGTATGAAATGAATGAAGAGCATATAGACTGCATGAAATTGTTTGCCTCGGAGCGACACCTTGTCAATTAACAACGAATTACAAAACACCAAAGGTAGGTTTTATTTTCGTGCTTCCATACACTCCCAATTCTGAATGTGATTACATCTAAACTACACAAGTTTGTGTCATGCATTGACATTATTGAGAGAGACCTCTGCTTGATTTTATTGTACATATTTAAACAAGTTTAATTAAGTGATCCTGATATTAAGGCAAATATAAACGGTGTGCATTAGAGGGGAGATACCTATCTCCTCCCTATAGCTGCCGAGGGGAACCTCCTTCAAGTAGTTAGGCTATTATATGTGCATTTTTTTTAACACGGCGATGATAACGTCTCTTGCTGTGATGAGTACGCCTCCCACACTGTCAGTCTATCTGCTGCGGAATACGGAGAGAATGCCACTCCTCCCTTTCTCCTGCGTCCTCTTTTTATTATTCATTCCTAGCAAAGTCACATCCTTTTCTAACTTTCTAGAAGGGCACTCCGCCGTTTAATCCCAAGACGTGCCCTGTCTGTGGGGAGGTGGTGGTATTGGAAAAGGGCGAAGTTACAGAGAAGAGGACAGCCGGCGCATCGAGGTTTGCGCTCCATTCGGACCCGAGCGCCCGTGGGGGGGCATGGACATGCTGCGGCGCTCCTCGGTATTTGCGGCTGAGGTGATGGAGGTCTTCGATCGCTCTCCCACGGACAAGGAGCTGGTCTCCCAGGCAAAGGCACTGTGCAGAGACTACATCCATTCCAGGCTGAACCGGGCGGGGATTGGCTGGTCCAAACCCGAGCAGAGCCTTTCGGCGTCCGGGGGTGCGCTGGCAGAGGTGTCCTCGGTTCTCCTCTGGTTGGGTAAGTGCGGCGCCGCGATCGCTTTGACTGGCGACCGGTCGAACTTTGCATTTTGATCCACTGTCCTGATTACCTGCGCGTTGCTCTTTTGAACTTACGATGCCAGTTTTACGCAGTTAACACCCGTCTAAAGCGGATAGATCTAACAATGAATCAATATCAGTTTGGGAGAAAGTCTAGATTTTAATGCAAACACCTGGTATTTTAAACACCGCAGCAAAGCGTTTTTATGTAGTTTTATAAAGTATGAATGTAAGGCGTGTGGTCTGGCAGCCTTAGGTCGTTGCTCCGATGTCAGCTCCGAAGCTCGCCGGGGCTGCTGTTTGAGGATGAACCGAAGCGCTTCCCAGGAACTGCTTTCCTAAAGGCGGGGGCAGTACAACTGATCGCGCGGGTCCCACCAGCCATTTTGCAATGGTTCCAGCAAATAAGCCTGGCAAACTGACGGTTGCTTCGTCCCCACTGAGGCCTGAGAGACGCAGCTCTCGCTCCCTCTGCGGTTTCCCCCTGCCACCCACAGCCCGGCGTCTTCTGCATTTTCTCTCTCTTGATTTATTTCTCCTGTGTGAAGTTATGTCCAAGATGTCTGTATGTAACACGTGCTGCACCTGTGGGTAGTAAAGCAAACGCTCACGGTCATCCGGTTATTGTGCAAACCGCAGGCATGGTGCAAAAGACACACGACAACAGGTGTTATTTGAAAGATATCTGTACTTAAACCTGCATTTTACTAAACTGTCGCCGCTTTACGGCTATGATCTCTTTATGGTTGTAAAGTAGCCTAAATTGTTCAACATAATTTAATGTGTATAAATAGGCCTAACCTGTTCTCAGAGATTCTTGTTTACTGATTGGCAGTGGCACACATGCGCACACACGTTTGTATTCAAATTTTTGTGGAGATTGGGGACTGACCATTTTTATGGGGAACACCCTAATCCCAACTATGACAACCTTACCCCCTACCCAGCCCTAACCTTAACCATAAGTAACAAAACAAAATACAAGATTTTTAGTTTTTTGACTACAAAGATTTTTACAGGTTGAATTTCTCCTTGTGGGTGTTGAAACAATAGTCCCCACAACATGAAAATGACAGGTTTTTATGACACTGTGGGGACTTTTGGTCCCCACAAAGTAATATATACATAACATACACACGTGCGCACACACACACACATACTGCCACGCAAAGTGATTTGTGTAACTCCCCTGGCGCAGGTGATGAGTTGGAGTATCTGCGGCCCAGTGTTTACCGTAACGTGGCGCGGCAGCTCAACATCACCGTGGCCTCAGAGAGCGTGGTGTCGGACGCCTACCTGGCTGTAGCCGAGGAGATCTTCACCTCAGGTAAGTTTTTTTTTTTTTTTGGGGGGGGCATTGCTGGGACCGGGGCTGGGGAATCTCCAGCAATCATTCCACGATGTCACAAAGGCTTTGTGGATTTTTGTTTTTCTCCCACCACTGCCTCGAGCATTCTGGGAGTCAGTAATCGTGCGTAGTCATGCTATAGTCGCTCCCCTTTTCTACAGGCGAGACATTTCAATGCAAATGCTTGCCTTTTGCCACAGGGAATCTAAGTGCACTGAGAACAGGCCGATTTGTCACACTTATTGTAAACGCTTTGTGCGGGGGCTTGGCCTCTCTTAGTATAGACTTTTTAAAAATAGCTTAAGCCGTGGTGATTTTAAAGTCCGCCTTTAGGACAAACCTCTTATTCTGGCTAACGTCAGGAAGGGTTCTGGGGAGAACACGAGGCGTCTGCCATGTAAACAAAATCTCAGCACACCTTGGGAAAAAAGAGTCCCTTTTGGTATCCTGAACGTTTTTTTTTTTTAGGACGAATGATTGTCAGAAGGCGCCTGTAGGACATGGGAGGACATGCACTGCTTTGAGTGCGAAAAGATTGCTAACAGTCCTGTGATGTGAAGGAAGCACATTTTGTAGGTTTTATCTGTGCATGAAAGGGCTGAGTAAGGATTGCAGATTGTGGTCAGTCCTGCAGGTAGGTATGTGTTGGAAGGGTGGAGAGCCATTACATGCCAAGAGATCATTCCTTTCCCTTAGGCTTTTGCTCAACCGTTAGCAATCGATGGGTGCGTCAGGAGCCTCAGTTACCAGAAAACATACCAAACAAACACTTAACGTGCGTGGACACGCAGCAGTCTCTCTGTAAGTTTACATTTTCCCGAAGCTGCTTTGACTTTTCCAGACTGCCAGAGACGCTAATGGAACAAGATGTATGAAGTCTTAAGAAGGGCCTAACAGCCGGATGACAGTTTGTTAGCCACCATGACACGCTACCTGCGCTAACTGACCACGCGGATGCGCAGACACGCAAAGGCGCCGCAGTCAGTGCTGCCGTCTGAGCTTCTGCTTCATTGCTGCTTTGTTCCTGGTCCCTCTTAATGCTGCTTCGTTCCTGGTCCCTCTTATTGCTGCTTTGTTCCTGGTCCCTCTTATTGCTGCTTTGTTCCTGGTCCCTCTTATTGCTGCTTTGTTCCTGGTCCCTCTTATTGCTGCTTTGTTCCTGG